ACAAGGGATGTTTCCCGAAAGAGAATTTGCACTGATATCCAGGTAGAACAGTCTTTCAATACTGAGCACGGATGGTGCAATGTACCACTGAGAAAATTCCACGATATATCGAGCTCAGCTAAACGAGGCATTAATGAGGCCATGTTATCAGGAATAGCACCAGAAAGCATATTGTGGGAAAGAATAAGGCCCTGAAGATTCTTCATCGTGAAATTTTTCGGGTATGGCTGGACCAGCTAAATGATTGGAAGACAAATTCAGCATGGTCATGTAGGAAAGACCAAATAACTCAAAAGGAATGATGCCGTTTAGCTCATTGTTGTGTAATAACAGTTCCCTGATTATAAAGCAGTGACCAATTGATGCAGGAATTGGACCCGTAAACTTGTTGTGGAGAGATCAAGCATACCATAATGCTGATTGTATTCGGAATCTGGCAAGGGCATCTCTTGGAATCCAGAGCATATCTCTTCTGGTATGAGACCTGAGAAATTATTCCTGGATAATGCAAATTATCCAGCAATTTCAATCTTGAAACAGACTTTGGAATATGACCAATAAGGTTGTTTGAACTAAGATCCAAGGATACGAGGCCTGTACAGTTAAAAAGTTCCTCAGGGATCTCTCTGTCAACTGGTTACCGCGCAGAGAAAGGTTGGTGAGGTTCCTCAATTCACCAATGGATGCTGGGATGGTCCTTTAAAAAAAATTATTACCTAATTCCACTCTGTGCAATGTCTGAACCTTAGCTAGAGCTGGAGAAATCTTTCCAGAAAGAAAGTTATCATCAAGAATTATTGCTGAAGAGATTTCGACTCCATAGCTGCTCAGGTATTTTTCCCATGAAATCTGTTCTTTGACAATACTAGGTGGTCAGAGGAGATTACCTAAGTAAGCAGGTAATTCTCCAGAAAGATTGTTTCTAAATAATATCAATTCTGTCAGGCCACTACAATTCCTGAAGGTCTTCTCAATGCTTCCAGTGAAGTTATTGTTTGGCAATGACAAATTTTCTATTGACTTCAAATTGCATATTTCTGAAGATAATTCACCAGAAAGCATGTTAGAACTCATGTCGAGCAACCTTAGATTCTGCAGATTGAGTGACGGCATAGAACCTGTGAAGAGGTTCTCAGCCATCGTTATAGATTCCACTTGCTTCCAGTTTGAAATCCAACTAGGGATCATCCTGTTAAGCGGTTGGAAATAAGCTTCAGAGTTTTAATTGATTCCATCCCTGCAAGACCATCTGGTAAAGCACTAGAGAAAGAGTTGCGGGAAAGGTCTAAAACCTCAAGGCTCTTACAGTTACCCAGCTGTCCAGGGATGCTCCCACTCAATCCAGCATTTGCAGCGAGCAAGTTTTTAAATGGGTCATATTTCCAATGTTTGCTGGCAATTCTCCCACAAACGAGTTTTGCCCAATATCCAAGCTAGCCAAGTTAGGTAGTTCAGTTAATTTACTGGGTATGGCACCTGTAAGCTTGCAGTTCCTGACTCTTAGCTCATGAAGCGCCCTGAGTTTGCCAATAGAGGATGGAATTACTCCACTGATGCTGTTGTTCACCAAGTTTATTGAAGTGAGGTTCTTCAGATTCCCGATATTCTTTGGTATTGGTCCACTTATGGAGTTACTAGAGAGATCAATCTTCTTAAGGTTCGTTAACTTTCCAAACCCAGAAAAGAATAGGACCACTAAAGCTGTTGGAATTAGCATCAAAGAACAGTAGACTAGCAAGGTCACCCAAACTTGAAGGGAGGGCACCAGAGAAAGAGTTTCTACTTAGATCAAGAGACTCCAACTTCGAAAGCTTTCCAAGTTCTGGCGGAAGCTTCCCAGAGAAAAGATTGGTACTAACCGAAAGTTCAACAAGATCACTTAGAAGGCCATAGTCGAAGGCAAGTGACTAGAAAAGCTGTTATCATCAAGTACAAGATACCTGAGACTTTTCAGGCTGGACACTGTTGAAGCAGAGTTCCAGACAGTTTATTGTGACTCAGGTCCAGAATCTGAAGCTCCTCAAGACTCCATATATTTGCAGGAATGACACCCACCAACCACACTGACTGAGATTAAGAAACTTCAGATGTTTTAGCTCCCCTATGCTACTAGGAATTGGAAGCTTTAGCGCCGAAGAGCTACAAGGTAGCTTAAGCCTAAGAACAACTTTCGATCCTCCACATTCCACACCTGTCAAGTTGCAGACGGGTGTATCCATGTTAGACCAGCTAGGAATTGTATCTTTTCTTCGGATTAGGCTCTTTCTTAGAGAAGAGACTATCTCTATATCACTTGCAGCAGTGGTCACACAGATCATACTCAACATTATAAGAACTAAACTCGGATTCATCATGATATACACACTCATGTCTCGGTTGCAGAATTGTCAACCCTGCTTATGTGGGAAAAAATAAAATAAAAATTAGAGCTTTAATAGCTACTTCATTAATTTCATAATAACCTGTGACATGTTTTTGCCTCTCTTTCTACTTCTAAAAATCTACTATAATAAGTTTGGTACTAAAATCTTCTCTCATTAATATCTTTTTTTCCCACTTACTAATACCGCATCTACCTTTTTAATAAAATAAGTATTAATAACCCGCTTATGATATATGGCCTTAAAAACACGTGCAACGGTGATTGTCAAGACTCAAGAGTTATTTTTTTGGGAAAGAGGAATAGTTGTTATGAAACTAATTCATTAATCGATTACCCAAAAAAAAGTTCTTTAAAAAAATCTGTAGTACTCTTAAGTTTTGATAATCACAGTTGCACGTGTTTTTATTGGGTTTTAAAAAAATAAAATCAAAATTTTGACAATTGGTTAATATTTTTTGTCATTTATTGTGTTTCAAAAATTTTTTGATTTTATTATGTCATACACAACATAATAACAAAATACCAACATATGTAATTAAACACAAAAATGAAAACTAGATTGTTGTCAACAACAAATAGCAAGAAACTTCAGGAATATCAGACATGGAGACATGGTGAACCATACCAACAATAAGATAAACAGCAACAACACATAACAACAACAAGAACAATAACAACAACAACAACAACAACAACAACAACAACAGAAACAGAGCCACAGAAGTGAGATAACCTTGTTTGAGGTTGAATTATGGGTTAAAATGAGTACTAATGTACGAGTAAAATGCTGTGTTTTTTGTGTGACTGTTTCTCACTCTAAAATCAGATTAATTTTGACAAGTTTTCTCTCACTAAAAATGGGAGATATTCATCTGTATCTGCTCACAACATATAAGGTAACAGAGTTGGAGCAGAGTACGACCGTACGAAGTAGTACTGCCAACTCACTCAGTCAGCATTGTTGTCATTGGTTGGGGTGTTTGGAGTTGGGGCCCACTTCGACAGTTAGTCTTCATAGTCAGAGAATCAACATTAAGAAGAGTGTTTATTCTGTATTATTTCATGATTTTTCTTTCTATCTTTTGATGTAAATTATAACTAGGAGTTAATGAGGTTATGATTGATTTCCTTTTTTTAACTTTGGTCTAATAATTTGTTATAAAATGGATCAATGATGATTATTAAATTCGGAGTATCTTATCCGACGGTAGAAAATTAGTTTGGACGTGTATTTATTCGCATATTACAATATCTACTGTATTGGTTTTATATGTCACTCGTGCACAAAAGCAGTTTGTTTCGTATTTAACTTTTGATTTAGATGAGATGTACTTCGATATACCCTCTACATTTATATAAGTCATTGTTGATTTTATTGATGGATACATGTCATATTCTCATTAAAGAATTTCACGTCTAAACTATTTATGACATCATTTTTTTTCCAAGTTTCAAGACATTAATTGAACAAAAAACATGAAATCTAGACTACACATCCCAATTAAAGACTTAAAGAGTACTCGTAATTTTTATTTTTTTAAAAAAACCGTGGGTATACTGTTGTGTTGCCTTCTTAATTTTCTTTAATGTTTTCCCAATTGACTCCAAAGAATATGATACTCACTTGAAACTGATTTTACTCAATCCAAACACAAAAAAGACGTCGCAATAAAATCATTATTTTGTATAAAATCAAAACAAATTTAGGGCCTAATCTATTCACTGAACATCTGAACTGAGCTTAAGAACTAACTGAACTGAAAATAATCTGAGGAATACAATTCGAACAACTCACATAACCAATGTAATTTGTTTCTTCGGACTATATAATTTGCCTTTTATTTATAAAGTGAAACAACTCACGTAACACTTCCGAAGTCCAAGACTCCGAACTAATAACTAGAAGGTCAAATCGAGTTAAGACTTAACGAGTAAAATCACAATCACAACTTGTTAAACAAACAATCTTGAAAACCATTTCTCAGCTTTTGGAGTTCATCAAGTTTAGTTTAAGAGACGCTTAACTTCACTGACATTCTTTTACTTTTCTTCTTCCCTTTAAACTCTACTCAGATATTTCGCAACAATGGTGGTTTCCATTCAAGATACTCAGGTAAAAATCGCTACAATTTTAGCTCATTTATATCTTGTAATTCTCAATTTCTTGTACTTACTGGGTTCATTTTTCTTAACCCATAATCTGATGAACTCAATTTTCTTGGGTCCTTTTATTTGAATTCCTTTGAACTGGTCATAAAGAATTAACCCTTTAATCCTCTGTTTTCTGGCACATATTATTACTAAAATTACTATTTCGGAAAAAAAAAAAATGGGTAAGTTAAGAGCAATACATAAAACCTTTTGAATATTTCTCAAAATTTTTCTTTGAATTTGTTGTTCTGATAATGTATGTACTTTTATCAAACAGTTGGTGGGCAAATATGAGTTATATTTGAATGTGGGTTTTCTTGGGTGTTTGAATTTGTTGTTCTAATAGTGTATGTACTTTGATCTTGTTTCATTTTCTAAATCTTGTTTCATTTTATAATGTGTTTTTACTAACTTTGATTTTTGTTGAATTGCAGCCGTCTCCTTCAAGCAATGTTGGTGGGACTGATGAAAGTTTCTTGGTTGTGAATTGTCTGAAGATGACCCTTTGTTTGAAAAGAAACTTGTGAGTAAATATTTTATCAGAATTTGAATTGAAAAAACAAGGATGAATTTCTGTGTTTCATTTCTTTATTTGTGTGCTGTAGTTTTCGCCTTTTTCGGTTTTTGGCTATTTGAATTAGTTGCTGACTTGTTATACTTGATTTGATTATTCATCTGTTAAGTTAGTACTGGTATGATGTATTGATGTAGGAGGACTAGGAACTGTGTTATGACCAGTTTAATCCATGATCAAATTAATGATTGTTTATGACCTAATTTTAATGCATTACTTTCTGGATGTGATCATTTGACTGAATTGTTTCTTGGAACGTCATTGACTGGTGCATTTATGTGTAGTAGTCATGTTATAGGGAGTTTTAAGGGTGTTAGATGGAGTGAGACTTGTTTTTAGAAGCAATGAAGTCAGAGCACTTTGAATCGCTTTTACTTGATAGTGTTTGAGTTGGCTAATCCTTATGTTCTTATCAAGGTTTTTTGGTTTTAGGCTTGCGAGATGCCTGAAGACAGTTCTGTGTGCTTAATTTATGAATAAACATGGTTATCTGGATTGTTGTGCTAACTTATGGGGTCTCTTTTTTATTACAGAAATTGCTTAACGATAAGGGATTCGTCCAAGTGACCGTGTATACCTGCAGAAGACTTTAGTTCCTCATAGTCTGAAAGGCAAGTTGGATGCCTTGCTTCAGAGAGCTCGGATAATCCACTTGAATGAGGTAAGTGGTTTATTGGTTAAAATTATGAAGTATATACATCTAAATTCGTCTGTAGACTAGAAATGGCTCTGTCAATAGTTCATTTCAATTCAGCATGAAAGCTAAAGTATCATTCTATGTTATGTTCATATTGTCCATACAATACTTTGTATGTTTGCTCTAGTACAGGATGATAAGCTCATCAGAATGCTTAAATATTCTAGAACTTATGTTATCGGTAATGTTGAAAAGCTTACTTTTTCTGGTGCAGATGGAGCTTTATTTTGGTGCTAGTGCTTCAGATGACGGTATAACAGAAGAATTTTACAGTCCTCGAAATGAGTTAGAGGCTCTGAATTGTGTCCTCTCTCTAGTTGATCATAGTGGGAAAAGTGATGTGACTAATGCTTCGCTGAAAGCTCTACGAGTTGCAATTATCTCAAGAATTTTCAATTTTGGGAACAAAAATAAATTGGAAACAGAGATGGTAAAGGAAGCATGTGACAGTGAGAAGCATCTTACGAGTTGGGCTGAAAGCCATGGTCTCGTATCTAAGCTGCAGATAGCTTGTATGTCAGGAATGCTCTAATTTAAATTTATTCAAATCAGAGGTATTGTATTAGGAAAGTTGCTTACAATTCTTTCCTGTGCTGATGTTTACATTTTGTGACAACCTAGATGTTGAAGGAGCTGGGAGAGGAGCACTGGCAACAGAAGACCTTGGGGTTGGAGACATAGCTCTGGAGATACCTATTTCTGTTATTATCTCAGAAGACCTTGTCTATGAATCTGACATGGTATGCTTCAATTGGCGAAAGGATTACATATGCATAAACTATATACATCAATACATGTACTATGACTCAAGTGCTCCATCCTTCAGCACCTTCTGAATTACGTGATTTACTAAACAGTTGGATACATTATGTTGTTATTGTTATATGAGGGAAAATAATAATAACTTTGTATTCTTTTTCTATTCAGATTCATGTTTTGGAAAAGATAGATGGCATTTCTGCTGAAACTATGTTGTTATTGTGGAGTATGAGGGAGAGGCACAACATTGACTCGAAGTACAAATTCTACTTTGATGCACTTCCCAAACAGTTTAATACTGGTTTGTCCTGCTGCCTAACTCTTTTCTTAGATGTTTTAAGCTTTACATTATCCATTCATTATAATCACCTGGAAGCTAAATGATTAGCATCTAGGAGATTACTTTTTAAGAATTTATCTCCTATGTTCTACCAGCTTTATCTTGTCTAACTGATCCCCGAATCTTAACAAAAAATTCTCACACTATTTATAGTGATCTCATTAAATCCATGTGTATTCTTTCAAACAGGATTGAGCTTTGGTGTGGAGGCGACGATAGTTTTGGATGGAACCTTGGCCTTAGAAGAGATATTACAAGCGAAGCAGGTTGTCTAAAATGTTATTTTGCTATTTTTCAAAATCTAGTTAATAGTATTTCTGCTTCGTTGTGGTTAAAGGAGGTTGTGGAACTAATGTGGACAATGGAGTAGATAAGTAAGCTCTCTTTGGAGTTAAAATGTATAGTAACACTCATTTCTGTGCATATATGTACATTAAATTGCTTAATTCAGTTTACTGGTCCTGTAAAAAATGTATATGGAATTTTGTCAAATTCTGTCAGTGTCAATAGTCTGCTTCATTTTGATTAAAGGAATTCCTGTTACTGATATAAAATCTCTTTGGATTTATAAATTGTAGCAATTCAGATTTTTGCATATTTGGACATTGGTTTGCTTACTGTCCGTGAAAAACAAGCATACTAGAATTGTAACAAAGAATGTCCCAGGTCTATAAATTTTGGTTAAAGGAATTCCTGTTACTGATATAAAATCTCTTTGGATTTATATTTTATAGCAACTCAGATTTTTGCATATTTGGACATTGGTTTGCTTACTGTCCGTGAAAAATAACAGTATTAGAATGTCCCAGGTCTATAAATTTGAAGGGTTCTTGTATTTTCATTACAATGTGGTATTATATGACTACTATGCCCTGCAGCAATGCTTCACCATTGTTGACACTTGCTTTTTTTCCGAGTTCAGACATTGAACCATACCAAACTAAATATTTCTTTTCTCACAAAGATAATGTCGTTGGAGAATTTTTTACTTAAAAAAGTATATACTGAGTAAGATTTGACCAATTGTGTGGTTGGATAATTGGAGTAGGGAAAGAATATTGGGTGAATTTGCATCTATTAAGGAATGAGGGGACATAGTTGGGACTAGGAAAATAAAGGGACATTTATCTTTAAGATGGCGAGAGTATTATTATTGCTTTTTCTCTACTTTTACAATTTTACCTGTTGCTTCATATCTGTCTATATGTTCATTGCAGCATTTGCGTTATGAATATGATCAGTTGTTTCCCGCTCTCTCCGTGAGTTTTCCTGGTTTATTCTCACCAGAGTTCTACACATGGGAGCAGTACCTATGGGCATGTGAGCTATGGTACTCCAATTCCATGAAAATTATGTTTCCCGATGGAAAGCTGAAGACATGTTTGATCCCTGTTGCAGGTTTTCTAAACCACTCTGTATGTTCACTTTTCTTCTCTCTCTCTTGTTTTGTTGTACAAGTATTAATTTAGAAAGGGTTTCAGAAAATTGGTTTCCAGCTTTTCACACAGCTAAATCATAGTATTAGTTACTCTTAGTTTTAACCCAGTTACATCCTCAAACTAGAAGAAAATCCCATCCACTCATACACTCACCCTGTCTGAAATTCGCCTTTTTTTTTTTTTTTTTTTTTTTCCCCCCCACAAGGTCTCCCTCCCCTTGCATACTTTTGGGCAATTCAGTTAGCTAGGCGATGTGTAGTTATCATCTTGTTAACGTATTCCAATTATCAGATTGACCTTCAATATAGAAAAACCCATTTAAGAATCATTGTTGGATCAACTATCTGAGCTTCTGATATCAATTAGAAGTTTTCCTTATCTTTCTTGGATAAAATCCCTTAATAAGTTAATAACCAGAAAGCAGCATAACCTATCTTTGGATGCCTCTTTATCGCTTCCATGTGAGTCATGGGCTCACAGCCAATCTCTTTCTGAATGTCTGTAAATATGATCTTGTTTGTCCACAGGTTTGCCCACATATTATGCATTATGGAAAAGTAGACTCTGTGACAAACACTCTCAAATTTCCTCTCTCAAGACCATGCAATAGGGGAGAGCAATGCTATCTGAGCTATGGAAATCTATCTAGTTCTCATCTGCTCACCTTCTATGGGTTTCTACCACAAGAAGTGAACCCTTATGATATTATCCCGCTTGGTGAGTTTCGCAGATGTTCTACAATAAATGTAGTTAGAGCTCTTTTCTGGTTATTCAGAGCTATTATAATCTCCCGTGGGGATGATATCTCAATTTTCTTGAATTTTTTTTTATTGATATTGAATTCATTGTAGATATTGAAGAAGGCTCAGACTGCTCTTCTGAGGAAGGCTGTCAAGATGATACCAAACACATGGTTCGGGGTGCTTGGCTTTCAGTTTTGACCAACCAAGGCCTCTTTTACTATAGACTGCCATCACCACTTTTGGAGCATCTACGGAATGCTGTGAATCCTGGCTTGCATACTATGACACTGGTATGATTTGCTTTTGTCTGACTTTGAACATCATTAGTCATCTACTTAGCTAATACTTCGTATGAATTGATGCCACAACCTCAGACATTTTTATTAGGAGGTGTATTGTTGGAATTCAGATAGTATTCAAGCAATGAAGCTGGGTGGTTGTAGTAGCTTTACCCTATTATTAACTGTAATGAATTTTTCTGTTTATCACGAGGGTGTTTCTGGTATCCTGAGCATGCTATAGGGGAACTATAGAGGGAAGTCTTTGGGTTCATCGAGGTTGTGATAGACAAAATTTGTTTGTGTTGCCTAAGGCTGTCTTGAAACCCGATTTCACATTTGGAAGCTCATACCCACTTTTCGCTTATTATTATTGTATCAGTTGCAAGAAAGCTTGGAAACTGAGAAGAAGGTTCTTGATGACCTTTATGCGATTTTTGATGGCATGATGAAAAATCTTGATGACTCAGTGCTGGAAGACAGGTTAGTTTCCGAAGAAACTATTTAATGCACATGTTTAAACACTAAGATGTTGAACCTAAAGCTGATGTTTTGCATTTTGCAAGGTCAAGTGAGAAGTGGGATGTACAATTAGCAATACAGTACAAAGATTTGCAGAAAAACATTGTGTCTTCTATACTGACTGCCTGTGAATCTGGACGAAAGATGGTGGAACATGAACTCAAGAGATGCATGCATGAGGACATTGCTGGCTAGCTGTAGCTTCAGTTAGAACGAGTGCCCTTCCTGCTGTTTTTCTGTATATCATTACTGTGAATGTCAGCCTCCCTTGGCTCCCTTGGAGCCATATACTCGCCCTGTATGTCCGTTTTTGTTGTAATTTTAGCATAAGTAGCAAAGATAGTATACCTAGGTAAAGGCATTGTAAGTTCGCAACCCATGGTCAAGATTAGCCCCTTCACCAATTTTGTTCTGGACCTTTCTCATTTGAGGCAATATAATCTGGTATAAGTGTATTACTAAAAGCAGATTAGTTTTGAATACCAAGAATTTTACTTTGAAATGTCTACTGTGAGTCAAGTCAGTTTCTACTACGGATTAGTACTATTTACAACTTCCATTAACCAATTTTTACAAAAGTTGAAAAGAGTTTATCAATTATTGCAATATACTTCTGGGATTTTTATTTTTTTTTAATTTTTATTATTTTTTTTGACATACTAAGTAGATTAATACTTCGTATTATCTTCAATGTTTTTTTTTTTTTGGACAACATGATTGATATTTTAGATTGCTTACAAAAGTCAGTGAACTCATCTTGATTGAACGACTGTATTTTGTAAATTAGATTGTTAAAATGTGGTGACTTGTGCCACATTTTCTTATTTGGTATACCATACATTTTCTAAATATCAGTGACCCTCTTTGAAAAAGATTGAAATAATCCCTGGATATGGCAAATTAAATTACGGCCAATACAGTATAAAAATCATGATTACTCTTTATTCACACAATAAGCAACAATAGACATGATTAGATACATTAATTTGACCCCTTATTTGATCATGAGATCATCCAATCCAAAATCGAAATTTATATGCAAATTACAGGTTTAGATTTGAACCTCAAGCATAAACCAATTCCAAAAAAAAAATTACATAGTAAAATAAATAAAATAAATGACTAATATTGATTGATTTTATCGTGATATCAATTTATTTGTTATCACTTTTACGTTTAGTGAAAAATAAAGGAAGAATTACCATTTTTTTTTTACTAAATCTTACCATTCATCAAAAGAACTTTGTATCTAGTTTCTTCTCAGCATATACCAATTGAGTGGATTATTTCATCTTTAATATACTGCCCTTTGACTTTCATTGCTTGATTCTCTATTTTATGTACTCTAATTATTCCATACAAAAACACTACTTGCACTAAAAATTCTGTTGTACTAAATATTGTTTGGTAACCATTCTTTTTATCTAGTGCAATTTGTACAACATATAGTATACTTCGTGTAATATATTCTAGATATTACCTTACTCGTTCTAATGAAACATAGACGTGACATTGGTTAATGGTTGCACCTACACTCGAGCCATAATAAACCTACAATCTCATTTTATAGAACTCCGTCGCAAAAAGTAACAACTAAAACCAAAGAAAAAGAATTAAAAAATAACCATTTCAAGATTACAACTAGGAGCTAACTATATACTTTCCTAAATAACCCACTCTTTTTGATTTTCTTATAACGTTTTTTGAGATTTTGAATTTGACAATAAATAATTTTGTTAGAAAACCCTAAACAAAAAAAAAAAAAGTCAATTGTAGATATAAAAGAATAAAGAAACTTTGAACAATTTGCAGCTGATCACGTCAACCCACAAAATATTGTTGTAGGTGTTAAAAGGTTCGATGGGAAAAGTTTGCATTCATGACAAAGAGACCAACTTTTGCAAATAAAGGGATCAAATCTATTCTTTATTTCTTCAATTCATAATATCCGTATCCTTAATGAGGTGAAACGCTAAACATCGCCCACAAATTACCACATAAAGCCCACAAATATGTTATGATTTGACCATTATGCCCTTTTGCTAAAATTGAGATAATCTCGGTGTAAAAAATGTGGAGCCGTATTGGCTCGTCGGGGGAGACCGGATGGCAGGCCGGAGATGCGGGGGACGCCGGAGGTACGTCGTCGTCGACGGAAAACGAGGTAAGTGACCGCTAAAATTCACGGTTTACCGTCGTAGTGGCTACGGCGTCTAGGGTGGACGCCCAAACCGTAGCCTGGACGTCCAAGCCGGACGCCAGAACCACCAGAGTGGCGTCCAGGCTAGACGCCCAGACCACCAGAGTGGCGTCCAGCCCAGACGCCCAGACCACCAGACTGGCGTCCTGGGCAGACGCCACTCCACTGGGTGAGGCGGCCCTGCCAGGCGCCAGTCCAGTGGGTGTGGCAGCCCTGGCAGACGCCACCTTTAATAATTAAATTTTATTTTTTCCTTTTTGATTTTGTTGTTGTTTTTTATTTAATTTTTTTGTGAAAATAAAAAATCGAAAATGATTTTTTTAAAAAATTCGAAATGGGTTTTTTTGTAAATTAAATTTGAAAATTCGAAAGAGGTTTTTTTTAAAATTAAATTTGAAAATTCGAAATGGTATATTTTTAAATTTAGTTTGAAAATTCGAATTGGGTTTTTATAAAAATTAAGTTTGATTATATATAATTATGTTTTTTTTTTTGTGTTAATTATGTGGAAATATAGAAATTAAATGTATTATCCGTTAAATGTATTTATTGTAATATATAATTGATGCAGGAATATGGTGGAGACGGAAATGATTACAGTGAGATATTTGGACATGATGGTCCATTCGAAGAAGCTCAACAGGCGATTGATTGGGCAAAACAGGTTGCAATTGCAGCTGGATTTTGCTTGGTAGTAGCAACTCATAAATCTCAACGGGATGGTAGAATGGATCGCATTTTGAGATGTGACCGTTATCGCAAAAGAGAAGAAAGAGATTTTCGTACAGCCACTCGGTTTGACACAAAGCGGAAAGGTTGTGGGTGTGAGTTCAGAGTAAAGGTTCGACAACTACGGAGTCGTGACGGTTGGGAAGTGATAGGTTACTCTAAATGGGGGTATCACAACCATGAGATGATAGTATATGAAGAGGGTCATCGACAACTGAGCGGCTTAAGTCCTGCTGCGAAACTAGTTGTGAAAGAAATGAGTGATGCTCAAGTGAAGCCTGCTAAAATATTAACATCTGTGTTAGAGAAATTTCCAGAAGACCATCCAAACCGAAGACACATCTACAACGTCAGACAGCAACTCAGGTTTGAACGGTCAGAGGGAAGGAACCCTATACAGCAGCTGCTACACCAGGCACAATCACGTGGTTACCTGTTCTGGTTTGATTCTGATGAAGATACAGCGGAGGTGACTCATCTTTTCCTTGTGCATCCTGATTGTGCTGATATGATCAAGTCTTGGCCATTTGTGATTTTGATCGACTCAACGTACAAGACAAACAAGTACAAGTTCCCTCTGGTTGAGATGGTTGGGATGGCTCCAACGAACCAGAACTTTCTGATTGGTCATGCAATCATCAGGGATGAGACGGCTCCAAGTTATTATTGGGTTTTGGAGAAGCTGAGAAACTACATCGGGCCTAATGTTCATCCAGCAGCCATCGTCAGCGACTGTGAGGGAGGTCTCTTTGCCCCCATAGCAGAGCTGTTTCCCGAATCGAACCACTTATTGTGCACATGGCACATCAACAACTGCGTGAAAGTGAAAGCCTACAACCTTTTCAAGAAGAATTTGGAAATGGCAGAGAGATTGGTGAATGGTAAGTGGCGGAAGATCCTACAGGCTACCACAGAGGAAGCGTATGAGCGAGCATTGGCTAACTTCAGGGATTCGTACCAGTGGTGTCCGGCACTGGTGGACTATGTGATGCATCAATGGGTCCCTCATAGGGAAAAGTTTGTCAAATATTGGACAAACCAGGTACTTCATTTTGGGAACACTACAACATGTAGAGTTGAGAGCGCTCATAGAGCTACCAAGGACTGGATTGATTCATCGACCGCTGCTTTGGATACACTGTTCGCTAGACTGAACAAGTCAATTGAAACTCAGAAGAACGACATCAGGAACTCTCTAGAGGACTCCAGACGACGACATGGTACGATGTATAGCCATTTTATATTTAAGATTCTCCATGGTCGTGTGTCGCACTACTGCTTGGGGTTGATTCTCACTGAGCTGAACAGGGTGAGGGACTTGGCTGACGAAGTGTATACTCGGTGTGGGTGTACTATTTTAGTAACTCATGGATTACCTTGCGCATGCACCATTCATCGCGTTATTACAGAAGAAAGGGCGTCGTTACATGTTGATCAGGTCCATTCATTCTGGAGGACGCTTGTTATTGGTGAGCATGCAGACAATCAAACGGCCGACCGTGAACAGGAAGAGTTGGAGCAGTTCCGTTCGATGTACGACCGAGTGTCCTCCAGCCATCCTTCTATTATTCGTGACGCTACTCATGTGCTTCATGACATGTTCCACCCGTCTAACTTAGATTATGAGGAACCCGAAGGAGTTGACCGTCCTCGAGGTCGACAGCGGCGGAACAGGAGTGCGTTTGAGTTGATGTACAGCGAAATTGCCTCTAACCGAAATGTTTATCGTCATGTGTACGAGGATGACTTGGATGGCGCTCTCCGACGTATCCGGTGGGGAGGTGGACCTTGCGGCGAAAATCATTATTTTGACGCGCCCCTAGATCTGTTTGCCGTTGCAAACATTTACAAATGCGCAGTCATGCATTTCGGCCTGGGAGTGCATAGTCAAGCTTATTATCCTTGTACCACGGTTCTCCCTTGGCGGTCGCGTGAGACTGTCACCACACCGGTCAGAGAGCTAGCTATTGCGTTTCTTGGGTCGTCATACAGACATTTCATCCGACTAGACATGTCAACCGATTTTCCGGTGCCACCGATTATACCTCGGTGGTACAACATTCGCACAGCGAGCGTAGAGGGTTGGGATGCGCTATATAATGACCGGATCCACGAATGGAACACCCTAGCTGCATTTTAGTTTTTCTTGTTTACATTCTTTATTTGTAATCTTATTTGTACGTTGCTTTTTTAATGAGAACATTAATATTTTATATTGTATTGCTTACTGCATTCTATATGTTGCATGGGTAAGTTGCGCGGATCCACGAACGGTTATATCAAAATTTAAAAACAGCACTGATAATATGTTTAAGTTGGAAGCTAAAAGAACAATCTAAAATGTTACAATTTTACAACATAATGTCCAACATAATGTTCTATAAATAAAATACAATAACCATCAGTAATCCCTCCTCGACGACGACTCCCACTGCGCAAGGGTTTGTTCCAGACTATCAACAACAGCTCTCCCTGTTGCACTCATGCTGTCCTTCTCAAGAGAGAGTTTCTGAACGTCTTGCATTATCTT